TAACTGTTAAAATTAATTTTTTTTATTTTTTTATGCAAATTAATGCATAATTAATGATAAAAAAATACAATAAATACACATTTTTGAATAAATACTAATTAAATAAGAATTGCCTTCGTAAAAGCATGGACAATGGAAGACAATCAAAACTTTTACTTTAATTTTACGTAAGAAATATATAACTCTTTTCATGTTATGATGTTCACCATATATGAAATGCATTTTCTTTGACCATTGATAAATTGAGGACCCTTAGATATATGCACTTTAGATTTTTTTGTAAAAGATATAAATCCTATCGTATTTAACAGAAACAATACATCACATAAAATGAATTAATTTTTATATAGTCCCTTGACTTATCAAAATTCAAGGAAAATTCATCCATAACTTAAAGTTTTCAAAATTTAAACTAATTACCCATCTTAAAAACCAGACTTTAAATTCCCAAAAAGCTTTTATTCTTCTTAATTCACATCTTTGGGTAAACAGTATTTTATAATAGAAAAATGTAAATTAGGGCTTTCGTTTGCCTCAATCTAAAACATTGAGGCGATATTTGCCCTTAAAAACAGTATTGAGGACTTGAATGATTTTTTCGTTAAAGTTCAAGGGCTTCATATGAATTTAAGTGCTGTAGCCACGCTTTTTTATTTTTTATTTTTATGTGAGCAAGCCTAAAGAAAAATTATTGGGAAATGATTTTAGATAAATTTTTTATTTTATTTTTTTATACCATTTGATATGTTATATATATGATTAATTTTTTTTATTTATGTAAATTTTATAATATTAAATATATTTGTTTATTTAATAATATGTAAAAATTATATAAAAAAATTTTAAAAATATATAAAAAATTATTTTTATAACACGTTCCAAAATTAATTGTCTTGATATTTTCAATCATTTCCTAGTTGGCGCCTTGGCGGCCTACGCCTACGCTTGAAAAACCCAGTCTGTCCATTCAACATTTTGATTTGGGCCATGCATAGGGCCTGATTCTAGCCCTATTTTTTTTTTCTTTTCTAATTTTTATCACCTCAAGTCAGAGACACAATTCTCCCTCTCCAAGTTTGACCTTATAAGTTATAGCACTGAGAGAATTGATCAAAATTTACTTGTAATGGGGTGTTTATTTTGGCATTTCGAAGATGGTTATTAACTGTTAATTTTAATTAAAAAATTAAATATTTTAAATTATAAAAATAATAGTTATTAATCATTAAATATTAATTATTAACTATAACCATATCTAAATAGTTAATGCAAGTACCATCTAAATCAAATATATAGTCTTAGAAAATTTTTTTAAAAAACTCGAAAATATCACATTTCAATTTGTTCCCAAATAGAGATTTGATGTTTGTTAATACAAAATTCATGCCCTACATTGCAAACTTGGTAGAAGTTGGTGTCTGCTGTTGCTTATTATACCAAGTTGCCATTGAACCACCCCTTGGGTTATTATACCGAGTTGCTAATCTAATATGAAATAAGTAGAACACAAAGAGCTACTCCCGCGAAAAAAATGTAACCCCAGAACACTTTGAGGGACATACCCTTAATATCCTTCCATTTCCCACTAACATTGCATTCCCAGCCGGAATCAAACGCCGCCGTGCACTCCGCTGTCATGTTATCCCTCCTCGTCGGCCACGTCCAACCTTCAAAACTAGCTTTTGCACGCCAAACCACCTTAAGTCCTTCGCACTGTGTCTCATTGTTCACACGACTGCAATTACGGGAACCCCATCTCCATCTCATACCAGAAAACCCAGTTAGGAAGGTAGTCTTGTTCTTTCTAGGTAGCTCGAAGGCGGCAATAGCAGCGTTGGCGAGACATTCCTTCTCGTGAAACGCCGAGGCAGTGATTTGGTCATAGACTATGCCATGGTTGTTAGGGTTTTCGACGGTGAAAGTGAGGTTCCAGTTGGCGGTTATTGTGTTAACCTTGGAGATGGAAGTGTTGGTGAAAGAGAGGAGAGAAGATTCCAACGTGAATACTGGGAGGGTAGGTTGCAGGCGAATTACGGCGAAGGTAGCACAAGGAACTATAGATATCAATAAGATTAAGAAGAATATGAAGAGAAGTATTTTGAGACAGTCGAGTGCTCCGGCACGTACAGAATAAGAGGCGGAACTGCCGTTGGTGGGGGAAGTGGTGGTGAAGGATCGTGCCATTGTAGTAGTGGTTTTTTTTCTTTTTCCTCTTTTTTTTTTGGCACAATAATAAGTAATCTTTCTTTGTTAGTGGCAATATAAGATGAGGATGAAATTAAGAGTTGTTATGGGAAGGATGAGACGAACTCTTGGATGAGTGATCCTCTTTTCACTTATTAACTGCTGAGTAATTGGGCTTCAGGAACCGCGGATTGTACCCTAGAGGAAAAAGAAAGATGAAATATATAAAGTTGTAACAAAAGCCTATTCCTTTTGAAATAAGATTTTTTTTTTTTTTTTTGGGAAATATGGCAATTACAATACATATTATTTGTAGGGTTGGTTTTAATTATGCTTTTCCTTTTTTAAGAAAAAATTGTTTTCTAATTTGTGACTAAAACGAAATACTAAGCACACATACCCGATAGGTTGATCATACCCGTTAAGCCATTATCTTACTAATGGTTCAAAAATAAACAAGGAAATCACATGCCTCTTCATTTCTAGTTAATTGATAATTACTAGTACGATTTTGTTTACTTGTGATCTTTTGACTTTTGAGCCAAGAGGACATTGTATTCCTCTCTTAAGCTCTCATATCTCTGACTCAAGCTTTTGAAGGCTTCTTTTGTCTCCTCTGGGACTGGGATATTCTTCTTCTTCTCCTCCAAACTAACCTTCACAGATTCAATCTGTTTCTTCAGCTCCTGAATCCTCACCATTTTCTCCTCATACTGTTTCTGCACCTTCTCAAAGTCCGATGCCCTGGCTTTCTCTAAACATCAAAAACTCCATAAGATTATAGATTATAATTAAGTACTGATGATCCATAGAAGAATAAAGGAAGAAATAAGAATTTGGTTCATTCATACCTGAAGGATTGTGTGATCCATCAGTGCTGCTGCTGCTACTACTGCCTTCCATGATCTTATCTTACTTGTGGTAATCTCTTCACAATGACTTGAGGTTATGTGTTTATAATAAGGAAAGCAGAATCGTGCAGAACAAAAAAGGCAGGACAGGGCTGCACAGGAGCATCTTTCAAATAAGTATATGAATGGAAACAAAATCGAAGCCAGAGATTCTGGTACAGAGATTTTGCACAGCCATTGATGTGAAAGTCTCTCTCTCTCGTCCTCATGACATCTTCAAGAATCGGAAGTATGGAAGCAGACAGCAAATTATGTTTTGAGCTGAGCAAGAAGATACTTTGACGAGGACAGGTACTTTGTCTTTTCTTTTCCCTTTTTTTTTTTTTTTTTTCAAACACCCATGACCTTATCCTAGATTCTCCTAGGATAGCTCTTGCCATTGTCAATGTCAAGGGGTTATCATGGAGGTACGGTATGGAAATTGGATTGGGTGGGGGGAGATGGGAATGGGTTTGCTTTTTAGGACACAGGCCTATTGCTATATATGTTGTTGTATGTATGCTCTTTGGAAGTTGAAGTCTTTTGTAGGGGTGTAGGTAGGTGTACCGTGAACTATCATGGAGTGTCGGAAATGTGGGGTTCCTGAAATGGCTACAGCCTAAAAATGGCTTCCATGACTAGTTTCCCATTTGTGTTATCAATGATTCAGGGGACTGATTGATTGATTCGTACCATACTGGATGGTTTTGGATCAGATACAAACTCAATCCTTCTAACTCGTCCTTTTTCTTTCATGTTGGGATGCAATTATAAACAAATTCAGGCAAAGCTACGATTTCATATTTAGGCAATATGTATAGCCTAACTAATTTTTTTATTAATTTTTTAATATTTAATAATTATATTAAACTTTATTAATTTAAAATCAAATTACGTTAAATTCATTGGAAATTTTTTTTTTAATATTTATTTTTTTATTTACAAAACTTAAATTTAAAATTTTATTTTAAAAAAATTAAATTTCTTTAAATCAATTCAACAAGAAATTGATAAAATCTAACTAACTGAAACATTTATATAAACACTTTGTTTAAACTTTCAAGGACATGTATAACTTTTCGTAAAATTATTGAATAGAAAATTTTAAAATTGATAAAATTAATGGATTTAATTTTTTAACTAAAGTTATTTTCACCTCAATTTTTATTAAGATTACTAATTTAATTGTAATTTTATTAATTTATAAATTTTTAAATAATTAATTATAATATTTAAAAAAACATTTATTTATAAATTAATTTTAATTTATTAAATTATTATTATTAATTATTTTATCAAATCTAAGCTATTCTTAACCATCAAATTAATATAAAAATTTAACAATTTTTGGTAGTTTTAACAGAAGTCATAGTAACCATAAGCATTGCCTAATTTCTTACCCTTAAAATGCTTGAAGTACCGTTAAGAAATTGTTTTGTCTCATTTACAGCTATTGTAATCTTTTCAAAAACCAAGCCAAATAGACAAGCAAAGTTAACCAACCAAGAAACTTGATTAGATTTGAAATCTCTAATAAAATCTGGTGCCTGTTTCCTACAAATACTTGACCATTGGGTTTTTGATAAAGTGACTGGGTAGAGCGAAATGAGGCTCAGGAGTATTTGACTTGTGAATGAATATTATTTTAAGGAGGTTTGTTATAATGGGAATTTTGAACTGATGAAAGAACTGCATGGGCTCCAAGCAGGGTTTGACAAAGTTCTTTATGGGTGGATATCAACTGCCAAACTTGTTTCCAGTCCCAAACTGGGTTTAGGAGATGCAATATCTAGAACTAGAGAATACTTCGGAAACTGCAGCAATAACATCTCTAAAACTTGTGTTACACTTTAATTTGCTCAACACATTCTGTAGAATGTCAATACATTTGGCAGGATAACAAATGTACTTAATATGTATGGTCACTATGTACAACAAAATGCATTGAATTAAATTACAAAATGAGGTGAGAGAGAAGACCCAACCGTTCTGTTTAAATATTCAATTGCAACTGTAAATGAGATGAGTGTGACACAAGTTGCTAGTAGTTACTAGAACAATGACAATAAACATGAGGCCAGAGGGAGCTTACCCCAGATACTACTTCATGAACTTCGTCCACAGTCCTCGATCATCATTCCTTTAAGACTCTTTGCCAACCAGATAGCAGTTTCCCTTGGGGAGACCTTATCTTTCCCGAAAGGCTTCAAAACAACTGAAAGCTCTTCTAATCTGTTTTGCTGGAGTAGCTCAGCAGACAGTTCTAAAAGCCCTTCAAGTGCCTCAGCCCTTTGCCTAAATGACTTCACATCCAAAGTTTCCTTTGCTGGTGCTTCATCCTCTAAAACGGAAGAGCTGGGCTTTGCTGACTCTAGCGAATCAGATCTAGGAACTGAAGAAATAGTGTTCCCAACATCCATTTCCTTAACACCAGAATGATCAGAAACATTTGACTTCAAACTTGGAGCTTCAGAGCAATTTGAAGACTTGAGGATTAATGGAGTGGTCATGTTTCTCATATCCAATTCATCCCTCACAACATTTATCAAGTTTCCAACATCCCTATTTTGAACACCCATTTCCACTTTTTCCATCACTGGCTGATCACTTCCAACACGGAAACTACTGTGCCTTATGACGTGTATAACCTCATCAATTGCCGGAGGGCGTGAGGATACTGCCGGCTTTTCAAGTATTGGATTGTGCAAAATGATTCCTTTATCTAGTTGCAAATTATTTTGACCAGAAGAAATTGGTGAGATAATGGAAGGTGCAGTTTCTACAGCTGATGAGAGTAGTTCCTTTACAGTGAACTTGTCATCACCACTGGATAGAGAGGAATGACTTGAATGAAGCATTGTCTCAGGCCTACCACTAGGCTTGCTTTCCACAGTGTTCTCCTCAACACTTGGCCTGCCTTCCACGGTGTTCTCCTCAATACTTGGCCTGCTTGCCACATTGTTCTCCCTAATACTTGGTCTGGTAAGAGGAGCATCATCCATACCTTTTGACCTGCTTAAAGGGACGTTGTTATCCATACTACTTGGCCGGCTTACAGGAGTTGCATCTTCTTGAACAGTTCTTTCTTCAGAATTCATGACTGCAGGAGCCAGAGATCCACTCCAAGTCTCTTTTCCATCGACAGCAGTGATATTCTGAAGATCTTCAATAGCCTCTGATGCTTCAACTGAACTTATTATGGATCTATGAATTCGATTTTCCGTCAAAAACTCTTCAGGCCTCTCAGAATGCAGATTGGATGTAGTTGAGCAGCAGGATAGGTGTGATTCTAAGCTTTCAGCGTGAGTGGTCATCTCATGCTGTTGACCAGCATGATCTTGGGTCTGTTCTGTCATGCCAATAGGAGTTGTTGCATCATCACAAAGCTCAAATGCTTGAATTGAGATTGAAGATGAGACAGAGTTGATGCTGTCTGTTTGCATTCCTTTGGCAACCCCAACTACAGCCTTTTGAGGCTCTTTTTTGACCCCCACAGAAATATTTGCCTGGCTGCCATTAAAAAATTGGTTAGGATTAGCTTCAGACTCCTGAGTCATTTCTGTTGCAGCTGATTTTGGTGGATTGCTTGCTGCATTTGGAAAATCAATTCCAGCTTGCTTCACTCTTCCTGCCAATGATGACTGCCTAACCACATTGGAAGGAGGAGTTCTCTGCCTTGCCTTAGAAGTTAGTCCATCTTCAACAGTATGCTTTGCAGGAGCAGGTGGAGGAATCCCTTCATGTCTTGGTTTAGTCTTTGGAGAGGAATCAATTGCAGGTAACTGCAGAGATAAATATAAAATATAAGTAAAAATATAAATACACAGACTAAATTAAGATACGAACGGTAAGTAGTGCCATACATGATGCTTCAAATGATTTGGTCCCAATATCCTTTTTGCCGAATCCAAGGGAGATTTTGATGGTGTAACAGTGGGTGCATCTGCACTGGACTTCAAAACAGGAGCAACAGCCATGGGTTTGGGAATTTTGGGAGACGCTTCTGTATTATTTTTTTGAGTCAATCCACCTCCAGTCTTAGAACGGTTGCCTCTCATGGGAGAACCATTTTCTCTTACTTTACCTTCTTTCAACGCCATCATAATACTTTTGATGGTCTTTGGTTGCTTTTGTTGGACATTAGATTCCTGTTCAGAATGAGAGGCTTTTGTCAATGCTTGTTCCTCAACCTTGACAGGACAAATATTAGGACTGTCTTCTTCATTTGGTGGGCACTGCTTAGTGCCGTTTTCATCATCAATAGAAACAGAATCTGTATCAGTGGCTTTCCCATTGCAATTCGACACCATTTTTGTAGTGTTTCTATCACTTGAGAGCAAACTATCTTTATCACTGCTCGAACTATTACTATTCTGGCTCTCAGCCATATTTCTTCGGCCATCACGGGCAGTAGAAATTGGCTTCTCAGGAGAGCTGGTTGCCGGAGGGTGGAAGGATGGACGATATTGCTCAACAAAAGGCTGCAAATATGGGTGCTTTAAAAGCTCGGATGCCTGAATAAAGCAGCAGCTGAAGCTGTTAGAATAAGTGCTGCAAGTATTCCTAATTTGGATAGAATATTTTAGAGAGAAACTCACACTTGGCCGATGCTCTGGATTCTTTCTCAGCATACCTTTTATAAGTGTTTTCCTGTGCGTGTAATATTAAACACATTCACCATCAGATAATGAAAACAAATATCATCAAGTAAATATAAAAACAGTTTGACACTCACAAAGATGGAGGGTAACAAGAAGGCAGAGGACCAATGGAGGAGCGATTTATCTTGCTTATCAGCCCTGCCATATCCTAGAAAAAAAAAGGCATAACAGAAATTAGTTATAGCTGTGTAATTTCTCTCAATTGTGATGGCATAAGATTATCAGTCGACAAACTTTCAAGGTGCATAACATCACACGGTCAGTAAAGTAGCATATAGAACTTTAAAAGCAGTATTTGAAATAGTGGAAACAGTATTGTCCTATAAGCTCATCTGAAAATTCAGGAACATATATCACATAAAAGAACTATCAGGATTCAGGACTCATACAAAAGCTTTGAAAGCAGGACGATGAGCAGCCATCTCGTAGATGCAGCATCCTGGTCAAAGTATGCAATTTAGCCAGAGGAAGAACAGAGAGATATGACTATAATATATGCTCAGGAACAGGCATACCAAGAGACCAGATATCAGACTTGAAACCATATGGAATATCAGCAAGCAATTCAGGACACATGTAATTGGGAGTCCCAACCACCTGCCAGCCACATACAAAGCACATGTTAACTTACACTGGAAATATAAATAGGTATAATCTCTCTTTAATGGGAAAGAAGACATTGTAAAATTACAAGGAAAGGGAATTTTACAAAAGAAGCACCCACATGTAAAGTGTTTTCTTCAGAGCTTAATGATGACTAAAATCTAATTCTCCATATAATCGTATTCAAAATTGTGATGACTGATTATTGATAACATATATGGTTCAAAGGTATATTCTAGCATTCCTATATTTAACTTTGTTGCAACTTGTAGCTTCTAAAGTTAGACTCAAAGTTTGAAATCTATTAGGATTTAGGACAATGCAAAGTTTAATAAATAAATGATCCAAGATAAGCATTCTGTGATTGTTTAACCTGGATCTGGATGAGTTCAGAAAACTTTCATTATTAGCAATTAAGTTATCAAATTCAAGGTTTTCATTAAGAAATGCATAGTTTCCATCTTCATGTGGCCAGTCTTAAATGAAAAAACAGAAGAAATGGGAAAAGACCAACAAACTTTTCCATTCTTATAGATGGTTTAAGAACAAAAAAGCAAAATAGCAAAAATAATCAGGTACAGAACATACTGAGGAAGCCAGGTCATCTGCTTTGAGAGTTTTGGCAAGACCAAAATCACCTAAAACATCAACCAAAAAAAAAAAAAAAAAGAAAGAGAAAAAGGATTATGATAATTGCATGACTGTCAAGGAAGGAATATATCTTCTATAATGAAATAGCAATATATCCAATTTAGACGTATGATGGAGGAAAAGAACAAGTTACTGATGAGGAAGAAAAAGTAAAATATAATAGACTCACCAAGGCGAACATCTTGATCTTTAGTAAGAAAGATATTGGAACACTGCTCAAACAGAAACAGAAATCAGTCCAAAATCTTCAAAAGTTTATAGAAATCTCTAAACACTACTTTACAATATTCATACACATACTTTTAGGTCACGATGGAGAACAAAATTTGAATGAAGATATTCAACTGCTAAAAGTAGTTGTGCAAACCACTTGCATAGTTTCTGCATAATTCCAAAATCATCAATGTGATTGTAAAGTCAAAACTCAATAAGAAACTAAAAGTCAAATACAATAAACTGGAAAAGAGACAAAATGAATATATCAAGAGATTAGATTACCTCCTCAGGGAAATACACCCCATTTGATTTTTTCATCAATTCAGCCCTGTTAAAGAATTAGTTACACAAATGAAAACAGTGTTTTATTTTCTTAAACACAAAAATTCCAAAAAGCAAGACCATGAATCATGTTTCGAATACATGCGCCAGACTCACATGTCTCCACCTTCACAGTATCCAGTGACAATGCAAACATAGCAGCCCTAGCATTACAATTATGCAACGTATAAATAAACCGCAAACAAACAGCAATCAAAGGTAAACACAATTCATGAATAAGGTAAAACGAGTGAATTTCTTCTTACTTTCTCCACCCACGCTTCCTTAAATTCAACGATGTAAGGATGTTGAAGTCGAGCAATGAGCGCCATCTGCTCATATCAAAAAAATAGAAATCCGGATCTGTCTAACATTGCCTAATCAACTGAAATTAACAGAAAACAGCTGAAACCATCAACAACCGAAACTACCTCTTGATGAGCAGATCGCCGGCAACGCTCCGTCTGTCGAGCCAATCTGATCTTCTTCAACACATACCTAAAGAAATCCATCCCAAAAAAAATTAAAACATATTGCTGTATACAGATTAAACTGACAAAACAACCGACACATTACAAACTCCAATATATATATAGAATCGCACTCACTTCTTCTTCTCGGATTTGTGGTGGACGAGAATGGCGGCACCGAAAGCACCACGGCCGATCTGCTCCATAATTTCATATTGATCCATTCGAGACTCCATTTCTCCTTGCTGGATCGTTCCAATACCGAAACCAATTAAATTTTACCAATAAACAAAAGAATCTACAAAATCAGTCCATTTCCCTCTCATACAAGTTCAAATTCCGGATCTCGAATCATCCTCAGATACTCCTCCTTC